GGGAAATATAGAAACCGTCCTTTCAAGTAGTATTGCTGCTGTCTTTTTTGCAGCTTTTGTAGCTGCTGGAACTATGTGGTATGGTTCGGCGACTACCCCAATTGAATTATTTGGCCCCACCCGTTATCAATGGGACCAAGGTTATTTCCAACAAGAGATATATCGAAGAGTTAGTACGGGACTAGCAGAAAATCAAAGTTTATCAGAAGCCTGGTCGAAAATTCCGGAAAAATTAGCTTTTTATGATTATATCGGTAATAATCCAGCAAAGGGAGGATTATTCAGAGCAGGTTCGATGGATAACGGGGATGGAATAGCAGTTGGATGGTTAGGCCACCCTGTCTTTAGAGATAAAGAAGGGCGTGAACTTTTTGTACGCCGTATGCCTACTTTTTTTGAAACATTTCCAGTTATTCTAGTAGACAGTGATGGAATTGTTAGAGCCGATGTTCCGTTTAGAAGGGCAGAATCGAAGTATAGTGTTGAACAAGTAGGAGTCACTGTTGCGTTCTACGGTGGTGAACTCAATGAAGTAAGTTTTAATGATCCGGCTACTGTGAAAAAATATGCTAGACGCGCTCAATTCGGTGAAATTTTTGAATTAGATCGTGCTACTTTGAAATCTGATGGGGTTTTTCGGAGTAGTCCAAGAGGTTGGTTTACTTTTGGGCACGCTTCATTTGCATTGCTCTTCTTTTTCGGACACATTTGGCATGGTGCTAGAACCCTTTTCAGAGATGTTTTTGCTGGGATTGACCCAGATTTAGATGTGCAAGTAGAGTTTGGAGTATTCCAAAAACTGGGAGATCCAACGACAAGACGACAAGCTGTCTGATATATCATTTATCCTATTATTTTGATATCTGTCTTTCGTTCTTTCTTTATCCGAAGCGAAGTAAGATATAGGGTAAGATATAGGATAAAAAAAACAAAAATAGGTAGGAAAGCTATAATTGGAAACTACGATGTAATTTATGGAAGCATTGGTTTATACATTCCTCTTAGTCTCGACTCTAGGAATAATATTTTTCGCTATCTTTTTTCGAGAACCCCCTAAAGTACCAATGAAAAAGATCAAATAATTTTTCGCTATAGTAACTTGAAGTAATAAGCCCTCCACCGTGGGGAGGCTTATTACTTCAACTAATCTCCATGTTCTTCAAATGGATCTCTTAGCTGTTGAGAAGGTTGTCCAAAAGCGGTATAGAAGGCATACCCAGTAAAACTAAAAAGTAAACCGGATATAAATATCGTCACTAGGATTGCTGTTTCCATTTTTTTATTAGTATATAATTAAAATACTCCAAAGGATCTATGCTAAGATCATTTCTTTATAACGCAATGGTATACAAAGTTAACAGATCTCTCAATAAATAAAATTGAATAAAAGAGGATTTATGGCTACAAAAACTAGTGAGAAAGGTTCTCAATATCGTCCAAGACAAACTACTATCGGTAATTTATTAAAACCATTGAATTCAGAATACGGTAAAGTAGCTCCGGGGTGGGGAACAACACCTTTAATGGGTTTGGCAATGGGTTTATTCGCGATATTTCTATCTATTATTTTAGAGATTTATAATTCTTCCGTTTTATTGGATGGAATTTCAATGAATTGAAACCTAGTCCCACTTTTTTTATTCAAAGCGGCGCCCTTTTAACTAAGATTTAGAATGCATTCTATTTTATGTAATTGTGGTAGTTCGATCGTGTTATTTATTTATTTCTATCATTTCCGGAATATGAGTGTGTGACTTGTTATAAAGGATCCTATTCATAGTCCATAAAATTTGGTTATCTTACTTACCAGAGATTATTTGATTCGTCAGATATGGATTCGAGTATCTGAAACACGAGATCTATTTGAACTATGATTCAGACTTCCTATTAAGACCTCGTGCCCGGGTTCCAAAAAAATTTTGAAACCAAGAAGGTTTGATTATTTAAAACCTTCTGGATGACCAAAATAAAAATTCCATCTATTTAGTATGGTTAAAGTTAATTTAAAAAGGTTCTTACTCAGGGAATCCTTGATTACGTTTCAATTTTTTTAATCGTGGTTCTAAATAGGAATCTTAGGTTTTTTTCGATTTATAGGGTCTTAACAAGGTAATTCCTATCCAATCAAATAAACAAAACAAATAAAAAAAGAATCATTCCATAAAAAAAAAGATAGGTAAAGAGAAGCTTCAAAAAGCCCGTCAAAATAAAAATAAAGACAACTGAGCTAACTTGATATGTTTGTATTAGTGCCAAAAAAATCAATAAGAAATAATAGATTTCGCATTTTATTGAATATAATCTATGTGTTGGTCTGGCCGGCGCAATGAGTATTTGGACATTTTTGGTTGAGCTGTACGAGATGAAAGTCTCATATACGGTTCTCAGGGGGGGGAAATTACCCTATCTCAATAAAGTCTATGATTGGTTCGAAGAACGTCTGGAGATTCAGGCGATTGCAGATGATATAACTAGTAAATATGTTCCTCCACATGTCAATATTTTTTATTGTTTAGGGGGAATTACGCTTACGTGTTTTTTAGTACAAGTAGCTACCGGGTTTGCTATGACTTTTTACTATCGTCCGACCCTTACAGAGGCGTTTGCTTCTGTTCAATACATAATGACTGAAGCGAACTTTGGTTGGTTAATCCGATCGGTTCATCGATGGTCAGCAAGTATGATGGTATTGATGATGATTCTGCATGTATTTCGTGTGTATCTGACAGGTGGGTTTAAAAAACCTCGTGAATTGACTTGGGTTACAGGTGTAATTTTAGCTGTATTGACAACATCTTTTGGCGTAACCGGTTATTCGTTACCTCGGGACCAAATAGGTTATTGGGCAGTGAAAATTGTAACAGGTGTACCCGAAGCTATTCCTGTAATAGGATCACCTTTGGTAGAATTTTTACGAGGAAGCGCTAGTGTGGGGCAATCCACCTTGACTCGTTTTTATAGTTTACACACTTTTGTCTTGCCTCTTATTACTGCCGTATTTATGTTAATGCACTTTTCAATGATACGTAAACAGGGTATTTCTGGTCCTTTATAAATCAAAATAGAAATAAAAAGAGATCCTAAATAAAAAAAATTTGTAAGATATGTTATTTCTCACTTGGAGGAGGGGTAATAGTATTTCATTGCTAAAAAAAATCCATTCTTTAAAAGAATAAGAAATGGTTTTTTATATTTATCTTCACCCTTCCTATATTCTTTTTTTTTTACATGAATACACAAATAGGCGAGGGGAATTCTTTGAAGTTGAAGATCAATTTTACGATAAAATGGATTATGGGAGTGTGCGACCTGAACTATTGATTGGTCCATGTAGATATAAGCCTACCACATTTGAATTATCACCACCCAAATGTGTCTTTGTTCCAATTGGCGCATAAGCCTTATGTGAGGGATAAGCTGGTTCCCTTGAAGATAATTTATTCTATGATCATATAAAAATCATGTTATACATGATTAGGCTCCGTAAAATCCAATATTGAATATAAAAAGATCCTAGAAACTTTTTATTTTTATTTAACATTTTAAACGCTAATATAGAATCTGTAAATGGAGTCATTTCCTCTCCATTGGTCCGATCTCGATAATACTATCGGAGTGAAACAAGAGATCTAACGAAGAAAAGAAACTGGACTTTTTTTTAGTAACAAGTAAACCTTTCTGCGTATCTTAAAATATGAAAACTTTTTGAAAATAGTTTCAGATAAATACGCATTCTAAGGTTGGAGACGACCCAAAAAGCACTTGATCCTATCAGAAAATTAAGCCTACTTGGGTCTTGAGTATTGACGCGTAAGCAAATAAGAAAAGAAATTTAATTTTTTGACTAGAGAAGGTTCACTTGATAAAAACAAATTTTTTCTTTTACATTGAACTATTTCTATATCATAGATTATCTTTTGTGTATAAATGAATATAAAGACTCTTAACGACTCTAAGATAACCTATAAACTACCTAGCTTTAGAAATGTATTTGTTCATTCATATAATGATTAATTCTTTTTTAATTATTTGTTTGAGTCTTGCTCGAGCTGGATGATTAAAAATGATCATGTCCGGTTCCCTCGGGGGATGGATCTCTAAGACTTCACCTATCCCAATAATAAAAAAACCTGACTTGAATGATCCTGTATTAAGAGCTAAATTGGCAAAAGGTATGGGTCATAATTATTACGGGGAACCCGCATGGCCCAATGATCTTTTATATATTTTTCCAGTAGTTATTCTTGGTACTATTGCATGTAATGTAGGTTTAGCAGTTCTAGAACCCTCAATGATTGGTGAACCCGCAAATCCCTTTGCAACCCCGTTAGAAATATTACCTGAATGGTATTTCTTTCCTGTATTTCAAATACTTCGTACAGTGCCTAATAAAATATTAGGTGTTCTTTTAATGCTTTCAGTACCTACGGGATTATTAACAGTACCTTTTTTAGAGAATGTTAATAAATTCCAAAACCCATTTCGTCGTCCAGTAGCAACCACTGTGTTTTTTATTGGTACCGGAGTTACCTTTTGGTTGGGCATTGGTGCAACATTACCTATTGAAAAATCCCTCACTTTAGGTCTTTTTTAAATTTGTTTTGTGGAGTTTTGATTCAATTTAAAAAAAACCAAAGCTTGTGTATCTAGGGAAGCGTTTCTTGAAAGTTCTTCCTAGATACACGTCAATTCATATTCATGAATGTTTCAATTTATTTTTTTTATTAATTAAACCTAAGTTTATAATCAATACAGTGCAAAATATTTTCCTAGAATCCCCAATATATGTTTTATATCTTCTAGTTGAAAATGTTCTATTTTTAAAAGATCTTCTTGTTTTTGATTAAAAAGATCAAATAATGTAAATATATTTGACTTTTTCAAGCAATTATATATCTTGGGAGGGAATTCTAATTGGTCAATAAAAATTAATTTCAATGAAAGTTTCTTTTTTTTTTTTATAAGTGTAGTCACTTTATTATAAAAGATAAGGGGGGGTAGGGGAATTGTGTGTTTTGCATCTGCTAAATATAAGTTTTCTTCTTCCATCTGGAAAAAAGGAATAAAGAAATCAATCAATATTCGGGCGGATTCATGAAGTGCTTCTTTTGGTGTTAAACTTCCATTTGTCCATATTTCCAAAAAAAGTATCTCTTGTTTTTCATTCCCATAAGAATGAATACTATGATTTGCATTTTGAACCGGCATGAAGAGAGCATCTATAGGATAACTTCCATCGTCAAAGTGAAGGTCCACTTTGTTGAAATATCCGCGATTTCTCTCTATTTTTAATCCAATAAAAAAATCAATAGGTTCCGTCAACCAAGCTATATGTTGTGTTATCAACAATTTGTACATGGGGGGGTAATATTATATCTTGGGCAGTTACATGTCGAGGTCCCTTGATACAAATAGACGCATCACAACTTTCATATAGATTGCTCCTCAATACAATTTCTTTCAAATTCATTAAAATCTCATGTACCGATTCTTGAATCCCCCCTATGGTAGAATACTCATGCGAGGCTTTCTCAGATTTTACACGTGTGATACATGTCCCTTCTATTTCTCCCAGCAAAGCTCTTCGCATCGCAATTCCTATTGTATCGGCTTGACCTTTTATAAGTGGAGATAGAATAAAGCGGCCATAAAAAAGGCGTTTACTGTCTATTCTTGATTCAACACATTTCCACTGTAGTGTCCGAGTAGATACTGCTACTTTCTCTCGAACCATAAAAATTTTGATTTAGTATATTAGTGAATCTTCTATTTCTCTTGATATAGGTTCACTTTTGATTTCTACACACGTCGTTTTTTGGGGGGTCTACAGCCATTGTGTGGCATAGGGGTTACATCCCTTATAAAAGTTAATAATATACCGCTTCTATGAATAGCTCGTAATACTGCATCTCTTCCGAGACCGGGACCTTTTATAAATACTTCGGCTCGTAGCATACCTCGATTCACTACTTTACGAAGAGCATTTATTACCGCGGTTTGAGCAGCGAAAGGTGTTCCTCTTCTGGTTCCTTTGAATCCAGAAGTACCGGCAGAGGACCAAGAAACTACCCGTCCCTGTACATCTGTAACAGTCACTATGGTATTATGGAAACTGGCTTGAACATGAATTACTCCTTTTGGTATTCTACGTGCATTCTGACGTGAACCAATACGTCCCCCCTTCCTACGCGAACTAATTCTCGATATATATTTTACCATTAAGCATTTTGTAAATCTGAGTCAGCGATATACTATATGGATATATCCATTTCACGATTCTTTCATTTCTATAATTGGTTTAGTTACTAAGTTAAGTTGCGAAGTCTTATTATCCCTGTCGTTGTTTATGTCTGGGATTGGAACAAATTACTATAAGTCGTCCCCTTCTCCGTATTAATCGACATCTGTCACAAATTTTACGAACAGAAGCTCTTATTTTCATATTCAGACTCCTTACATTTCTTTTAAATTTACTTTAGAGTTTCGGTTTGATTGGAAGATTATAATAAAAACATTCATTTTTTTTTTTATTTTCAATTTCTAATTTTGTTATTTTTGCCAAAGAGATAGCTAAGTTTAAAAATGACTCCTTTGAATCATTGTTGTGTTGCAAAAGCTTCATCGACTTGTTCTGAAGTTATCCGTCTAAACTAAAAATGAATTTAGCCTATTTTCACAAAAAGAACTTATAATCCAATCTTTATTACTTTATTAGTTGATTATCTAAATCAATAAAAAAGAAAACCAGAACATACTATTTGAAAAGGATTCCTTAATAAAAAAATTCTTGAAAAAAGGAAAGTGATTTTTGTTCTTTCATCCGAAGGACTTTATTCTTTATTTCAGTGACCTAGAAGCAATAAGGAATGGGGATTTCATTAGATTCTAAAATATCCCATTTGGGAATCATAGAAATGGAAAGTTTCTACCTAATTGGCATCTTGAAAATATTACCATATATAAAACAAAATCTCCCCCCCGATTCTTTGCAGTCGGGCTTCTCGGTCTGTCATTATACCACGTGAAGTAGAAAGAATTACAACCCCCATCCCGCCTAAAATTTTAGGTATTTTTTTAGACTTAGAATACATTCGTAGACCGGGTCGACTTATCCGTTTTAAATTTAGAATATTGCTAAAGGTCCTTTTTTTAGTGTTTATATGTTGCAGAGTTAAAACTAAAAAATTTTTGTTGTTTTCTCGATGATTTCTCACACTTTCAATAAAACCTTCTTTTAAAAGGAGTTTTACAATCTTTTCGTTAATATTACTGGATGGGATTCGAACTGTTCTTTTTCCATCCCTATGAGTATTCCGTATAGAAGTTATTATCTCAGCAATAGTGTCCCTACCCATGATGAACTCTAATTATGGAGCTAAAAATTTTTCTACTCTCAACGTGTTTTTTTTATTGTCTATGGATTATTGTGTTTATCTTACTTTATTTTAATCTTAAAGTTATATACGTGAGACAGATTCTACTCCATTTTTTAATTTTTTTTATAATACCTCAGGAGCTAATGAAACGATTTTAGTAAAATTTAATTGTCTTAACTCCCGGGGGATTGGACCAAAAATTCTGGTCCCTTTTGGATTTCCTTCTTTATCAATAACAACTGCGGCATTATCATCATATCGTATTATTATCCCGTTGCCACGTTTTAGTTCTTTAGAGGTACGCACGATTACGGCTCTAACTACTTCAGATCTTTGTAGAGGCATGTTAGGTACAGCTTCTTTGATAACAGCAACAATAATGTCACCAATATAAGCATATCGACGATTGCTAGCTCCTATTATTCGAATACACATCAATTTTCGAGCCCCGCTGTTATCCGCTACATTTAAAAGGGTTTGGGATTGAATCATAGCATTTTTTTTATTCTTTTCTTTCACAATGCAAAGGGCGAAGAAAAAAAGAAATATTTTTTGTCCACAAACATAAAACGAAACCTCTTTTTTTTTTGTTTTTGTTTCATTCTTAAGATTCTTTGGGTTGGTTCTAGAGTTATATCGTCTATTCTATCTCCGAAATAATGAATTGAGTTTGTATCGGCATTTTTGATGCTGCTATTGAAATAGCTTTTCTGGCAATATTTTTTGTTACTCCACCCATTTCAAAAAGTATCCGACCGGGTTTAACAACAGCAACCCAATATTCAGGGGATCCTTTTCCTGAACCCATACGTGTTTCTGCGGGTCGTACAGTAACTGGTTTATCGGGAAATATACGTACCCATATTTTTCCTCCACGACGTGCATTTCGTGTCATAGCCCGTCGCCCAGCTTCTATTTGTCTAGATGTGATCCAAGCGGGTTCAAGTGCTTGAAGCGCATATTTACCGAAACAAATATGATTCCCTCGAGAAGCTATTCCCTTCATTCTTCCTCTATGTTGTTTACGGAATCTGGTTCTTTTGGGGTTATAGTTGATGGATTTTTATTTATTCCATCTCTACTACAGAACCGGATGTGAGAGTTTCTTCTCATCCAGCTCCTCGCGAATTACGAATAAAGTATTTACAAAATGAGCGTTTGACTCAAATTGACTAATCATAGTGAAGATATCTAAATCTAAAGATAGATAATAAAAGTCTGGACTGAGAAGTCAAAATAATATTTAGGGATTGAGTGATCTTTTTTTAAATCTATTTGAATTGAAATGAATTATTCTACAGTTTTTTCATGATTCTCTGAGTCTAACTAATCCTTCATTTTTGACTATTCTTTATATTGCTTTAGATTGAATATTGATTCTTTTGAAAAAAGTTTTCGCGGGCGAATATTGACTCTGTCAATTTAGATTTCATTTCTAGGACGAGTTTGTGACATCTTATAGCTAGTATCTAGAAATAAAATAATTTAACATTGGTTTATTCCGCCATCCCAGCCAGTGAATGTTTAAGATTTTTTTTTATTTCATCTTGAATTGAATTGAATCTTTTGTATTCTCATAAGTTCCGTCGTCCCCATCACTTCTTACTTAATGGTTAGGTCCTAATTTTACAATGGAGCTCAAATAGTAATAATATATGAATAATTTAAGTCTTTAGCCATTTTTCTTAGTCTTTATTGGCTTTAAGCTCTTGACTTTATTTTTTTATTTTATCTCTTCTATATTTAATATCTAATTGAATATTTATATATAGATTATAGATTTCTATAATAAGAGTATATTGTTTTTTATTATTGAATATTCTTAGATTTCTTATTCTATTTTAAATACTTTAATATGCAGAATTTAAGTATTAATGCTTCATTACATTGCCTGTTTTGTTAGACCCTACATATTGGAATTTTCAATCATTGAGCTTCTTTTTCTCCCTTTCTCTCTCCCTTCCAATTATCCACATCTTTTTTATATTTTGCTTCGCAACTTCAATAATATTTGAATACTATTTTTCGTTTATGCAAATAAATGGCAGTTGCTACAACGATATGAGCGGTAATCATATCGTGACTGGTTATTTAGATCCAGATAATGCGAAATTGATGAGTTAATTATTAGGTAATTTCTTCTCGAGTTAGTAGTTGTTACTTTGGGTTTGGTTTCATGCTAACCTTAAAAAATAAACGAGTCGCACACTAAGCATAGCAATGATATTTTTATTAAAAATAAATAAAATTTTTATTCAACCTTATAGAATTCATTATTATCAATTAGAACTGTTCCTGCTCATTACACAAAATAATTTGTGAAATGGCCGCTCGGTATTACAGGTAAAAAGAATGAATAAAATTTTATTGAGCTTGATCAAAAAATATCCAAATTTTTATGCCTAAAACCCCGTAGATAGTTCGAACTGAATAACAACAATAATCAATTTTAGCTTGAATAGTTTGGCGGGGAATTCTTCCTTCTCTTATCCATTCCACACGTGCAATTTCCTTTCCGTCAAGGCGTCCCGCAATTTGTACTTGAATTCCTTTTGTATCTGCTTGTTCAGCTAATTCAATAGCTTTTTTCATTGCTTTTCGAAAGGAAACTCTATTCTTTAATTGTCCAGCTATAAATTCGGCAAGAATATTAGGATTTCCATACGGTTTTTCAATTTTTGTGATAGCAATATTAAGTTTTCGGTTTACGAAATTTAATTTTTTTTGTAGAGCTTTTTGTAATTCTTCAACTCCCTGCGGGCTATTTTCAATGAATACTTTGGGAAATCCAATATAGATTATGACTTGGATTAGATCGAGTCTTTTTTTAATACATATACCTGCAATTCCCTCGGTACCCGAGGGTTTGATTCTATTTTTTTGTACATAATTTTTTATAAAAGCTCTTATCTTTTGATCTTCTTGCAGATTTTCAGCATACGTTTTTGGTTGCGAAAACCAAAGTGAATAATGGGCCTGGTTTGTACCAAGTCTGAAACCAAGTGGATTTATTTTTTGTCCCATAAATACCTCCTTTTCTGGATATCAGAATATGCTTTAGTTCTAGAATTTTTTTTCGCTTGTGGTTTTTTTAGCAAACCGAGCTCCACGGATTCAGAATCATT